ATATTTAACACTCCATGTTCAACTCTAGTACAATAACCTAGATCATCAAACATACTTATAGATAACAAATTTCGCTTGAGTTCAGAAACATACCTCACATTATGTATAAGAAGTTCACGATCATCAAACATTTTAAGTCTGACCATACCAATACCATGAACTTTTCAAGCCTTATTATCACCAAGGCGAACAACACCACCTTGAACCATTTTCAAAGTTTCAAAGTATTCTATTCTTAGACACATGTTATAAGATCAACCCGAGTCAATGACCCAACTATCTTCAGTTTCAAAACTCGATACTACTAGTACATCAACATCCTCATAAATTTCCTCACCCAAGGTAACTGCAACTTGAACATAATCCCCCTTGACCTTTCTCTCAGGACAATCCCTTTTAAAGTGACCGATTTTCTGACAATTAAAACATTTTACATTTGCCTTGTCAGACCTCTTTGATTTTTACATCCCTTTAGGCTCACCTATTCCTCTTGATATATTTAAGCCTTCACCATTATCTTCAATCTTCAAATCTTTCGACTTTGAAAATTCTTTGGATTTCACCGCCGTCTGGACTTCATCCAAAGTAATAGTACCTTCCTTACCATAAAGAAAGGAATACTTAAAGTGCTCAAATGATCTGGGTAATGAACTCAACATGATTAAATCCTTGTCCTCATTATCAATCTTCACTTCAATATTCTCAAGATCTTCAATGATCTTGTGAAATTCTATAAGCTGATCAACTATGGATTTATGCTCCGCCATTGGAAATTAATAGAGTTGTTGTTTCAGATCCAACCTGTGAGTCAAAGACTTAGTTATATATAATGAGTCAAGTCTTTTCCACACAACAACCATAGTTTTCTCCCTGGAGACCTCTCTTAGAACTTTATCCCCGAGGCACAAGATAATGACACTTCTGGCCTAATCCACCATCTCGGTCTTCTGTAACTGTGTAAGACCTATAGGCATCAATGCTTCACTTTTCAAAGTATCAATACACTTATCTTGAATTAAAATTACTTGCATATTAATTTTCCACAACCCGAAGTTGTTATTTCCAAAAAAAATCTCGATCTCCCATCTGCCCATGGTGCTCACTTGTAAACAATACCTCTTTGATCCATACTTACTGCACCACTTGTTGCGAATCTTGTTGTGTATTACGACAAAATTCAATATCAATTTATGAGGAAAAGAATAGTAGTAACCAAAATAAATGGTCTACAATAATAATAATTTGTACACATAATATAACATAATAAGGCAAGAAAAAAATGAAGGTTTTTTACCCAGTTCGATCAAACGATCTACTCTGGGAGAGAGCATCTCTTCAATTCACTATACTCAGAAATTTATTATAAGAGATTACAGATGAGTTACAAGAAAATAACATTTACCTCCAGGTTCCCAAGAACAACCCTGAAGGCTCCCAAGAATTACCCTATTTTCTACCCAAGTGTTTCCCAACCTCTCCAACCTTCAATGTATGAATAATTGAAACCCAAGGTGTAAACAAGTGTTTCCCAATTCCCAATTCGCAATAACCTTAGATAACTCCAAAGGTTTCCAAAACCTTTGCCTTTATAAGGTTTCCCTTGAGAATAGCCAAAACCCTATGCTATGCCTTAAAACCTTTCTTATGTTATATAACATTTGTCATTAAGTTTGTATACAGATCATCAAAGAATTAAGGCGATGAACGTAACCCATCTGCTAACTCATTTTTGTTTTTAATGACATCCTCATCCTCGTAAACAAGAGGACTCACTCGATCCAAATATGTCTCCTCGTAATTACAAAAGAAATATGAGTAAAAGATTTAATGACTATTTGTTGTCATTTGTTTTGAGGCTTCACCATTGACATAAGCTATGGACATCTCAACACAAAAGTACAAAGAAATCATCATTACCTCTCAACGGCTATTTCAAATAAAGATCATAAATAGGTTATCCTATCTAAAAGAAGCATCAATAAATTGAATTACATGATAGCTAAAATCTTAATCTGTGATCTCAATACAAAGCTTCATACTTAGTGATTCAAATAAAAAATCTCATATACAAAGCTTATCACTGTCACATAGTGTTTTAAGTTTGTTAAAGTTAGCATTTGTATATCCCCAAGTGATATATAAATACTTGCAAAAAGGAAGTGTAATCTAAATCTAAAGAAAGACTCTTTAGTATTTGTAAAGACTTTTAAGGCTTGAAAAAGGTTACTGCAATTATTCTTAACAAGAATAGATTGTGAGGAATAAGAAAAATCTCATTGTGTGTGAGGACTCGATTAATTAACTTTGGGGAACCAGGATAAACTTGTTGTATGTTTTATTTACTTTCCTTGTCTACTCAAATCATTTTTGTACTAAATCATTTAAATTTGTAAGTTTAAAAAGGGTCACTATTCAAACCCCTCTTCCTAGTGACAAGTCTGTTACTTCACCCTCTTGTTGGTGTAAACTCTAAGATTGTCACACCTGCAAGCATATAAGAGATACATATTTATAATAGAAAATACACAAAAAACAAAGCCCAAAATTATAATCCAATTATACGTAGATCCATGGACCGAACCGAAATAGCCCGAAACACACAAAATGAGAAATTGCCAAAAAAGCCCGAAAACCCGAAATCACTTTTCACCGTACGAACATTACTATTCTCCATACATACAACACTACTCAACCGTACGTACAACACTATTCATATGTAAGAACATCGCTATTCATCCGTACGAACATCACTATTCACCGATCAATTTTCCCGATTTCCATTTTTCGACTTTTCGTCTGACTTTCTAAAACTTTCGATTTTCACGGTAAATGAAATCTCCAAAATATATTTTCTTCCTCTTCATCAATAAAGTTTTTTAAGGCATACTCTAACATTTATTTTATTTGACGAGGCTTGAAAATGTTTCATGATAGATACCATCATCAGAGAGATTTCTTGACTCAGATCATCATAGATTACATCAAACACCGCTTAACATTAGGTGTTGTCTTGAAGAGATAGGCTTTGACATCTTATTCTCCAAGCACAACAACTTGATCATCAATTTAGATGATGACTTCATCTTATAATATTGTCATCATCAAAACCATATATGCCAATTGATTGTTTGAGACATTATACTTGCAAGCACATATCTTCACACTTCTAACAAAAATCATTTTAGAGAAAAAGTTTTTAAAATTAGTTTATCACAATTCATTCTCCCCCTCTTTTGTTTGGAATCATTTTTTCAACATATATATCATATGTTATTTGATGAAGGGTGTCAAGTCCTCTTCCTATAATATAAGTTACATGTAATGTGACCCCAAACCACTAGGGTGCATGGTGGGTGACTCGTTACTACAATATATGGAGACACGGTTAGATAACTCGATGAAACTTGGGATTGCCTTTTCGATTATGATGAGGATAATCTTGTTGGGTTAGGGAGCATGCTCGATGACTGACCTCTTACTATACTTGAAAAAAAACTATTTGTGATCTCTCTTGTGTAGAACAAGTAAAGCCTTAATCAATGTGAATATGTGAGTAAATGATAATTTATTTTGATCACTAATTGCATATTTATTATCGTCTGGGCTTACTTTGACCTTCCACTTTCGTTACATAATCGATGCTCTTTAATTTTAGTGTCTCTCTATTGTGTGAGATTCCAAATGTTTGACAAATCTTCATGGACTTTATTGTTATGGTTGTTTGTAAGCGTTATGACAGTTATGCCTTCACGAGCATTATTGTCATGTTCTTCATATAACAATAAGTCGCATAACACCAATAAATTATAACTTAACTCATGGCTGAGTCAACTCATTATTGGGTGATCTCATCCTCATAACATATCGTGGTGGACTAGTCAATATTCCTTGAGGTTAATTTCATCTCACGCATACCTGTTTAAGTACGCTTTGAGGGTTCAGGGTTTGCTTGAACAAAGGGTCGAGTTATGTTGATTATAGGTGGGTTTAGATCATTCTGGACATATTTGTACACAGCCTCTCAAGTACGAGGCTATTAAAACGATGTGATTTAAGTAATTATTTATAGTTCACCTCCAATATAAAGAGACGTGAAGAGCATGCACATGCGACTGACACGTATTTAACCTCGCCTATATAGTCTTTGCTATCCTCTTCGTATAACCTTCAAAATGAAAGGTGAAAGAGTTAAAGTTGCTGATATTATATAGACTTGAGTGATAATATAATAATCCCTACTTTCTAAGTATCTAAGTATGAGACGGATGAGTAAATGATTAAAAATATATAATAGTTAGTCAATACATATTTTAATTAAATATTAAAAAAAAACATAATAACTCAATTTGAAATTTCATATAAAGTATTCACATCCAAATTTATAGACCATTATGGTTAGACAATTTGTCTTGTACTTATCTTTTTTTATTTATTTATTTATAATAATGGAGTTTTTGTTATGTTCACATACCTAATTGCCAATTTATTTTGCTAAACTTGACTAAAAACAACAATTGTTATAATTGATAATAGCCATGGGCTGATCAAAATTAGAAGAGCTGTTTCTCATCTTATAACTCAACTCTATGCACGTCTTTAGATAACTTCAAATTAGAATACAAAAATGTCATTGTGGTCTTATCTCATTTATCACAATTAACACATTCATAATGTTGATCAAACAAATAAAACAAATCCTTTATTCACAAAGCTACATTACATAATAACCCCACTTCATTCACTAATCACTATTTCCCGAACATCATAATTTCCTTTCTCATTTTTCACATTTTGTTTTTCTCCCGCATTTTTTTGTCTTCTCAAGAGTCACATCTTGCTACATTTTCTATCTATATTCTTTTTCCTTGGTTCCAAAAATGTTCCACAAAAGAAAGGGTAGTGCTATACACACATGTCTTCGGATAATTACAATTTGCATTGAACAAACACAACACAACAGTAACCTAAACATTTTTGTTCCTAGTACGGAAAATCATATATTAAGAAACCAACAACTGTCCTCCACGTGTCAACTGGGCCACTTGACCTTCCATTACCTTCTTCTTCTTCGCCGGAGAATTACTTTCCGACGATGAAGAACGTTCCGGTGAAGATCGTTTAGAAGTAATCCTTACCGGGTCGGGTTCACCGGAGTTAACCCGAAGAGGAAAATTCAGCAAAGCTCTCGAACCTCTCATCCTATACGCAGCTCTATCGTAAGCCAACGCTGCATCCTCAGCGGTTTCAAATGTTCCAAGCCAAACCCTAGCTCCGTTCTTAGCCGGGTCACGAATCTCCGCCGCGAATTTTCCCCACGGCCGTTGTCTCACCCCGCGGTAGTGCTTACCTTTAACCGGGGCAGCTTTCGGCCCTTTCGGAACCACTTGAACCTTCGCAGGGACCACCGCAGGAATAATATTCTCTACCGGCATAATATCTGGCTCCGGTTTCACCAACTCCAACGGAAAACCCGATGAAATGCTCTCGGGTGACCCGACTTCGAGAGACGGAACCCACCCGACGTTTATGGCGTCTCGGAGGACGCCGTAAAGCAACATATCTTCAGAATCATCTTCCTTGAGTGGTAAATCGCCCCAGTTATCACTCAAACATGGATATAAGCTACTGAAACTGGAGCTCCGAGAGAAAACCCGGGTATTCGTATTAGATATTGTTGGAGCTCCGAATATAGATTCGGACTCACCCAACAAGTGACGGCGAATAGAGTCTAAAAGGGCAAAATCGGAATCAAAATTATTGTTTCCATACATTTTGTGGTTGTTTAATTTTGTGTTTGATGAGTTTAAATTTGTGATATTTTTTGAGAGACGGGTTGAATATTCGAACTTAAAAGGTTGAGAATAAGTGAGGTATTTATAGGATCATAGGTTCATGCATTTGGATTTATCTTGTTGAATATTTAGATTTAATAAATAAATAAAAGTCTAAATGGGATTGTGACTATTATTTTATTGCACTACCATTGTGTTTTTATCGACTAAGTTAGCTTCGGTGAAGGTTCGCATGTGTTAAAGTTTGCAAGTGGGAAGGGATTTTTATCACGTGGTTAATTTATCTTGCTTTTCTCATTTAAAAAAAAAATTTATTTTTCTATGATCAGCAATAAAAATGCATATGTGTGACGTCATTCATCTTACAGAGGCATACAAGTTGCTGCTTTGTTTGTCTTCTTTGTTGTCCAATTGTCCCTTTCCATGTTTGTTAATATCTTTTATTTTTTGTTTTGTTGGTATTATTATTGATATTTATATTCTTAATATATTAAAACAATAATGGAGATTTCATTTCAATAATTTGTAAATATCTTCTTGTTAATGTTACAAACTTTTCGAAATGTATTTTTGTATTGATGTTAATTTGTAAATATCTTCTTGTTAATGTTACAAACTTTTCGAAATGTATTTTTGTATTGATGTCAATTTTTTATCATTGTTATAAGAAATAATTCACTTTTAAATTCATTCAATAACTAATTTATCTAACCTAAATTAAATATATTAAAATTTAATAAATTTATCTAGGTAATATTGAAGTTAACTTTTTTCTTCAATTTCAAATTTTTAATGTAAAATATTTTTCTAAGAAAAAACATCTTTATTTTGCCTATAATATAAAAAAGATTATTGGTGCAAATGCGAGTGATTAAGTCTTACATTGCTTATAAATGAGTTAAATGTTAAATTTATAAGAGAAATAGGTCATACATCTGATGTCTTATGTTTTTTACGGAAATATGGTATTTCTATTTCTTGTGGTCCTGAAACATTAATCTTGTGGCTGCTCCTTCATACTCTAGGATTCCCGAAAAGTGGTATCAAATCTTGTTCGACTTGGTGAGTGGGGGAAGGGGGTGAGAGTTGACGCTTTCCTCTCTTGCGATCCTTGAGCATTGAGATCGTTGTTGCCTCTGACTTTCTTAGACTCCCCCAACAAATAGTATTAGAGGCATGGCTCGACTAGGTGGAAGAGCATAGTTGGATGATGTGTTGGGTCCTATTATAGGATGTGAGAGACTCATTGTAACACTCTGATTTTCATTTATTAATTATTTATAGCTATTTATTTTATTAATTATTATATGGTATAGTAATTAATTAAATTATGTGATTTTGTGAATATATGAGTTATTTGAATTAATTGGTGATTTGTGATATATGATTTATTCTATTAATTGAGAATATGTGTTGTATGAGTAATTGGGGTAGTAGGTGTGAGGAAAGTATTATTAAGTAATTGGGTCTTGGTATGATGGATTAGTGTGAGTGGGTGAGATAAATCCATTAGTAAAATAAAAGTTAGTAAGAGTTTTGTAAAACAAAGAGAAATAGAATTAGAAAGAAAGAAACAAGAGAAGAGAAGAAAGAGGAGAAAAGTGAGAAGAAGAAGAAGAAGAACTCTAGAAAGAGTCTACATCCAAGGTAAGGGTGAGTAATTTGCTTATTATGGGATTATATAAAAGTATGTAATGCGTAGTTCCATGATTAGATATTTTGTTCTTCAATTCTAGATTTTGACAAGTTAGGGTTTGAATGTGAAATCATGAAATTGATGTTTGAATTATGTTGTGATGTTTGTAATTGATGTTATATGTTAGATATGTGTTATAATGCATTTAATTATATGAACGTGGCTGATTGGAGTGGGTTTTGTGGCCCCAATTCGTGGAGGACAGAATATTGTCCGAAGCAGAATTTTTCGGGTTTTTTGTGAGGCCGCTTAGCGCCCTAGGTGCCGCTTAACGCGGTTTGGGACGGAAATTTTTATATTTCTTTTAATTGAGTTATGATCTGGTATGCTTATGATTTATAAAGGATTTCTATGAATTTTAATAATTTATTCAATGTGTTTTAGATTAGTTTTAGATGGCTTTTGATGAGAAATATAATACTTGAATTTTGTACATGTATGTTGTAAATTGAGGTTGATTGAGGATAACATGGTTTGAATATTGTTGGTTACATGTTATGTGATGTGTTGAATTGAAAAGTGCCATGAGTATGCATTATATATGAATGTTGACATGATGTATGTATGTTATGCAATTCGGTGAGATAATTCAAATGTGTTGAATTATGTGAAATATGCTTGTATGATTAAGATATGGAGATGGTCTTAATTGCACATATATGTTCAGAATGCATTATGAGTTGTAAAGAGGCAATATTTGCTAGCTTTTGTGAGAGTTAATGACTTGTCCCAAACCTGGAGATGGGGGTTTAAAAGCTTAGAGAATGGACTTTTTGATGGTTATCTGTCTTGGAGATGTGGACCGGGTTTAAATGCAAAAACTTCGTAAGGATAACAATTGATACCACATGTATATTGCATTGAGTTGCATTCGAGTCACATATGTCGATGTGAAATGTTGAATTAGTGTGTAATATGTGATCTTGGTGTGAATGTTATATTTGTGGTATTTGTGATTGACTATCTTTGGATCATGAATTGTTGAGCAATGTTGTATATATGATTATGTGAAGTGTGACGAATTCAATTTTTGCTTGTATGTGATGCATTACTTATTATTATATATTTCTATAATGACGTGAATTCTCACCCTTCTGTTGGAATGATGTTTTATACGACTTTGCTCAGGTATCGAAGATAGTGATGCTTCTTGCGAGGATTAGTCGAAGGAAATAGTTCCTTGTTTATCCACTTATTAGGTAGTGAGTCATGCTCTGATCATGTAACACGGGGAAACATTTGAACTCATGTTTTTTGAGAGATGTTTGTTATACTCTCTTTATTTATGATGTATTAAGATTATGTGATGAGTAGCCTTTAGTGCCTAATACTTTATTATATAATTATCATTATGAGATTTCAATTATTAGTATCATTATGAAAGATAATTATTCCGCTGTGATATACATATATGTTAGTGTATGGAACGTGATTTCAAATGTGTGTTATGAGCATGACCGGTGTATTTGTGTTGGTTTTAAAATACATGTGACACCCTCTTTTGATATGCATGCTAATTTACTCTGATGATGCCATATTATTGCGCGGGGGGTTTAGAGGGTGTTACATCAGTAGTATCAGAACCTGGTCGGCCAGTTGGCCAGGTTATTAATGTCTTTATTTCCTTTTGTATTTGATATGTGTATATGATAAAATCAGTACCCTTTGTCTGATGAGGATTGTTGGTTGTTTGGTAGTTTGGAATCTCAGGATGATAGTTGCAGGAAGGAATGAAGATGTTATTGTCGAGGTATTGGAAAAGTGGGCGGTGTGATTGGACAACAGCGGCACGCCAATGCTGGTAACAGAGATGATGATGATTTCCGAGCTTTGGGGAAGTTCTAGAGGAATAATCTACCAATCATTGAAGGAGCACATGAACTTGACAAAGCACAAGTATGGTTGAAAGCTATTGAGAAGATATTTCGGCTCATGAATTGTTAGGATGCTCAAAGAGTGCAGTTTGGTACCCATATGCTTAAAAAGGAAGTTGAGGATTGGTGGAGTAACACTGTTCAGAGGTTTGAAGAAGATGTGATGGAGATTACTTGTGCATTTTTCATAGATGCGTTTCTGGAGAAGTATTTTCCAGAGGATGGGCGTGGAAAGAAGGAGATTGAGTTTCTTGAGCTGAAGTAGGGTAATGGAACCGTCGCTGAGTATGCTGCAAGGTTTGAAGAGTTAATTAAGTTTTGTTCTCATTACAACACTACTAATGATGAAAGATCTAAGCGTCTTAAGTTTTTGAATGGTTTGAGACATGGGATCAAGAAATCCATGGGTTATCAACAGATTCAGAGACTTTTTGACCTGGTTAATAAGAGTAGGATTTATGATGAGGATAATAGGGAGAGTACTGCTTACTATAAGTCTTTGAATGATAAGAAGGGAAAGGGGAAATAAAGAGGAAATCCTTATATGACTCATGCTGACAAGGGGAAACATACAAGTGGTTATGACAAGAGGCCGAGTGTGGGAGGATCTTCTACTCCAGTTAAGTGCTTTAAGTGTGGTGTCGAAGGACATCGTTTTTCTGAATGTACAAGTGCTGAGGTGAAGTGTTTCAAGTGTGGAAAGCTAGGTCACAAATCTTATGAGTGCAGAGGAGGTGTGAGTGTGACTTGCTACAACTGTGGTGAGCAAGGGCACATTAGTACCAGGTGTGACAAGACGAAGAAGGAACAAGGTAAAGGGAAAATGTTTGCTTTATCTGGTTCCGAGACTGCTGTTGAGGATAGACTAATCTGAGGTACGTACTTTATTAATGGTACACCTTTGATTGCTATTATTGATACTGGTGTGACACATTCTTTCATTTCTTTGGATTGTGTTAAGAGATTGAATCTTGAGTTATCTGATATGAATTGAAGTATGGTTATTGACACTCCTGCTATGGGTTCACTGACTACTTCGTATGTGTGTTTGAATTGTCCGTTGAGTATTTTTGGTAAAGACTTTGGAGTTGATTTAGTGTGTCTTCCGTTAGATCAACTTGATGTTATTCTTGGTATGAACTGTTTAGAATACAATCATGTTTATATCAACTATTTTGATAAAATAGTTATCTTTCTTGATTATGGTTTTGAGAGATCTGCCAAGCAAGTGAATTAGTCTGTGCAAGATGCTGCTGTGTTGTTGGCTTTGATGGCAACATTAGATATTGGTGGTAAATGAATGACTAGTGAATTACCAACAGTTCGTGATTTTCCTAAGGTATTTCCTGATGATGTAAGTGATTTTTCACCAGAGTGTGAAGTGGAGTTTATGATCGACTTAGTTCCTG